GCTCCCACCCTCTGGAATGAACTGCCCCCAGAGATCAGGGTGATCCCTGATCTCCCTTCCTTCCGCCGCGCCCTTAAGACATGGTTATTCCAGCTTGCAGGACTGGCCTAGGGGAAATTTTTAGAGGGGGTTTTAATTATATTTTAATTAGATCACAGTTAAATATTTCCTTTTTAATTAATTTTTAAACTTGTAATGTCATCTGTGTATTTTTACTTGATTGTTAGCCGCCCTGAGTCCGTAAGGAGAAGGGCGGGATATAAATTTAAATAATAATAATAATAATAATAATAATAATAATAATAATAATAATAATAATAATAATAATAATAATAATAATAATAATGAGTAGTTAATTCCATTTCAGTAAATGACTTATTTTTTCCTTATTTTTTGAGTGTAACTTCTGGCATCTATTTATACAAACCTTTGAGTCAGTTCTTTGACTTTTGTTGACTATAGTCTCTAGTCAGGCAAGGTTTTTCAGAAGTGCTTTGTCATTGTCTTCTTCCCAAGGTCACTCAGTTGGCTTTGTGCCTGAGGCAGGACTAGAAATCACAACCTCCTGGTTTCTAGCTTGGTGCCTTAATCATATACCAAACTAGTTCTTTCTAGCATTAGACATGATGTATATACATATGCATGCACACACATACACATGCACATACACACAGAGATATACAAGTATGATTCTTGTACACATTAATAAGATGGGGAGAAATCTCCAGCTGTATTTTTGTTGAAGTTGCCCTCCCAAAATTTCCAAGGCATTTACACATGATTTTGTCTGTGTTTATTTTATTCTGTCCACTCTTGCTTTTGTAAAGGATCTTCTTAAATTTAAAATAATATTTCTTTTGGCTTATAGAGAAATGAATAGAATGTGAGCAGAACACATTCTTGTATGGTAAGCTTGAAGAATTGGGAATACAGTAGGTTTCTCTACTGTGTATCATCTATTGAGTAAAATCTGATCAAGATTTTAATAAATGAGATTCATTGGGGAATAATTTAATGAAGTTCCTATACTTGTGGATTAGCATGTAAAATGAAATAATATAGCAAAAAATAGAAGGTCTGGTTGCGTGAATGAAATAACATTATGAGAAATGTCAGCTTTGAAGATGTGAAGGAGAGCATGTCCAAAACCTGCAGGATCATCATTAGTAAATATATATATTTAAAGGATTGTGTACCATTTGTAGCTTTTGGGTTATCTTTTCAATTTGAAGTCTCACACACTGAACAAAGATATAATATTGTACTATGGTAATTAAACTTGTATAAAACAGGTAGAGATGTTGTTTTAAAACCTGGTATGTTATAACGATTCATAAATAAGAATGGTGGAATATTCTTCGTTTGTTAGAACTACCTATTTTGAGTGGTTATGTTTCCACAAAGTTGTCTTTTTCTGTGTTATACAGAAATGTTCCATTTAATAAATAAACATTCAGTTTTAAAACTTAGTCCATCTCTTTAGTGTAATTTGGCAGGAGGGTCATAAAGAAATGTGAACTGTACAATATGACATTTATATTTATTCTGAATAAAATAAATAATTTGTGAGGAGGTTACTGTATTATTTTTTAAAATGTAGATCACTGAAAAGGGCTACTATTCAATACAGGAGAAATATTTTAATAGGTTTTTCTTATTATGCTTGATAGGCCAGAAGAATGTTTGATGGAGAAATGGCAAGTTTAGCTGCTATTCTGCAAACACAGACTGTGAAAGTTCCTAAACCTATCAAAGTTATTGATTTGCCAGAAGGTGGTGCTTTATTTGTGATGGAGCACTTGGACATGAGAAGTCTCAATAGGTAAAGTTATGAGGACAAAATGTATGATATTTTAAAAATAAGATGGACCTAAACCAGCTTTAGGCTGTGCTTGTATGATTCCATGAGTCACAGATTAGGCTGCTACAATTTAGTTTACCTTGAGACAGATCTATCTCTTATGGTAAATTTACAGTTCATTGTGGGAACAAAGAAAATTGGGTTAATTGATTAAACCAAGGCTAAGTTAAACATGGGAGTACTGTATGCACTCTCAGTTCAATAGTTAACTGAAAAGTAAGCAAATATTGGACATATTCTAGATTCTCAGGAGGTTTTCATACTTGGATAAAGAATAAATAAGGGGCAGGGAGGTGTGGCTGTGAAGTCATATAGCCTAAGAAGGCCTAAGCTTTGGCAGTTCCCTGCCAGGAAGTCCAGCAGGCCTGAATTGCTGATCGCTACAGTTGATCCATTGAAGTTTGTGAAATCTGACCTAAAAGGCAGGGGGACATAATAGCAGTGTTCCAATATCTCAGGGGCTGCCACAAAGAAGAGGGAGTCAAGCTATTTTCCAAAGCGCCTGAAGGCAGGACAAGAAGCAACGGGTGGAAACTAACCAAAGAGAGAAACAACCTAGAACTAAGGAGAAACTTCCTGACAGTTAGAGCAATTAACCAGTGGAACAACCTGCCTCCAGAAGCGGTGAATGCTCCAACACTGGAAGTTTTCAAGAAGAAACTGGACAGCCATTTGTCCAAAATGGTATAGGGTTTCCTGCCTGAGCAGGGGGTTGGACTAGACGACCTCCAAGGTCCCTTCCAACTTTATCATCATTATTATTATTATTATCATTATTATTATTATTATTATTATTATTATTATTATTATTATTATATTAAGGAACCAGAATATATGGGGTGGTCTGTACCCAAGTTATGCCAGCATTTTTAAAGCTTTTATATAGTAGAGAAAATAGTAGTAGTAAATTAATAAAATAATGAATTACTTTTGAGTGCCCTGTTATGAAAATATATAACATTTTATTAAAAATATTGAAAACTACTAACAGTACTATAATCAAAGTTTGAAGTAACACTACAGTCAGATTAAGATATACATCCTCAGTGGAAGATCCAGCAAGTACCAGGATATTAACAATACCCATTGTCATTTGAACAAAAACCAAATTCTTGTTCAGGCTGTTAATTTGGCACTAGCTGATAAGAATAATTTGTTCTGACTTTTTAGACAGGCAGAAAAACTTGGGATTCAGCTGGCTGATCTTCATCTTCATAATCAAAAGCTTGGGGAAAAGTTGAAGAAAGATGCAAACGCTATTGGTAAATGGTTTAGCTGTTTGAGAATTTCTGAATCCCAGAAATTTATTGTATGTTGAATTGTGAATGCTTCTAACAGCTTTGCTTTACCTCCTACAAAACCTGGTTGTATAGCCCTAGAAAATTTCTTTTTTGAATAGAAAGATGGTCAATAGCAACAAGGTTGTTCTTTGTCAATATGATTTTCATAAGAACCATCTTTTAAATGTTCATTATTCCTCAGTATTGATAACTTATTTCATTGTTAAAATGAATGAGGGAAACTGAAGAGCAATATTTATATAATTCTTGAAATATGAAAATATGTAGCCTGAACTCATCTAGATACATACATAATCTCAGTTATTTTTGCATCTATTTAGAAGATTTAGATTCATTGAGAAGAGCAAAATAATCTAGTGTTTAGAGTACTTATCTGTTGTAGTAGTAAACTATATCTTTTTTCCATTCAAGGTAAAAGTAAAAATCAGACGGATATTCAGTTTATGGAAGAGTTTGGGTTTCATTCTGTCACTTGTTGTGGTTACCTTCCACAGGTAGGCTTGATTGTCTTCTTCTGCTTTGCAAAATCTTGTTTTGTTACTCTTCAGACATACATACTTGTTTGCAAACCCTTAAAGCTGCCCTGCCTTTTCCAAGGATTGTGTGACTACTTCTGCAGCTGCTGCATAAACCTGAAAAGGGAATATTTGGTTCAAAGAGTTGCAGAGAGGTGCACTGTTCACACCCTCACTTATACTGGAACACCTATTTAAAGTGCTGCATAGAACTAATATATGCACATTTTAGGGATGTGCAGGACTTTGATTCCAAACAAGAAAAAAGTGCTTCTGAATGGTATGGGTACACACAGCATACCTGTAAGTCAGGCATGTCATTGTCGGCAATGCGGTGGGTGCAGTTTCAGTGTAATGCATCCGGCCTGTGGGCCGGCAATTTGACATGCCTGCTGTAAGTGAAACCTTAAAGAAGCTATCTTTTCTTGGGTACACATGGTAAGGTCTGTGATCCTAGGAAAATGTGTTTGAGTGCTGACATTTATCCACACTAGCTCCAAAGTACTTTTTCACATCCTGTTGGTTTCTCCACATGATTGGCTGCTATGTGAGCATAGAAAAGAAGTGTAGATTTTTTTGAAAGATGCACTGACAGATATGCTACTGTGCCCTACTTAGTTTGAAGCAGTGCATATTTTGTGTGTCAATGAATAATTTAAGAGATAACTTAGGGAAGTACGATTTGATATAAAGAATCCAATACAATATTAGTATCATCAATATATTGCCTGATCCCCATTTTGTGGTAACAGAATGGCAGATGTCATTGCTGCTGCTTCCCTGAAAAATAGATGTACTTTGCAATTAAGGGGATGATAGTAGTAATAGCTAATTAATGCAGTAGAGTCCAAAATGTGATTTAAATGTGATGCTACTGTGCTAGGATTTTCTCTAAAAACAGTATTTTAGCACAGAGCTGACCATCTTCTTGAAATTAGCCAAGCTTTAGATGTTACTTAGGATGTTACTTTACCAATGCAGCTCAATGGCAACAATCCAAAATTTTAGGAAATGATTATTTAAAATATTAGGAATTACTGGGATGGTATATAGGAGAAGAAATGAACAAAATATTCTATCTGATTTCTTCTTGGAATTTATTCCCAAAAATGTACTCGGAGAGATAGATTCATGTTCATTGATTAGTATTATAAATGCTACAAATGTGTAGATGCTGCAAAAATGTGACTAAAATAGAGAATGTAATGGAAATGATTATGTTCATTTGATAGACAAACATAGCAGGGATACCAACAAAACAATTTATTTGCAGGTTAATGACTGGCAACAAGACTGGGTAAATTTCTTTACTAGGCAACGAATTCAGCCCCAGATGGATTTGATTGAGAAGAATTCAGGAGACAGAGAAGCAAGAGAGCTTTGGGCTCAACTCCAGGTAGTGATCTCTATGGAATTTCGAAGTGGCATCCTCATATATTTTCAGAGCAATACAATTTCCATACTGCTTTAGTGGTGTGAAATGGTGGGTCCTCTACACCAGGGCTTTTCAACCGGTGGTACACGTACCATTGGTGGTATGTCGGCACCTGGCAGGTGGTAACACGATGGGTTGAAAAGCACTGTAAAAAAAAAAGTGTAAAAAAAAGGGTAGCATGGGGATGAGCTGAAGCACTGGCAATGCAGCACAGGCCTGTGGGAAAACAGCTGGAGCCGCAGTGTTGCCAGGGCTCTGCTGAGCGCTCAGGATCTGCACCGGGCTCCAGCTGACTGGCGCTTCTGGAAGCTGCGCCAAGCCTGGGGAAAGGAGTCAGTTGCAGCTACACCAAAGACAAGAGGACGACGAGGAGGGGATAGACATGCCCGCGAGATTTTTACATTTGGCCCAGGGCCGCCCTGGAGACAGCAAGGGGCCGTCCCACCCCAGCCCTCAATCAAAGGAAAACCCCGAATCTAGTGAGCCAGAAGGCAGCCCAGCCACCGCGCCCCTCCGTTTCCTCCTCCTTGCCCCCTGGGCATAGACAAGTCACTGCTTCTCGCCATAGCTGGGGCGGGACTTGCAAGTACCTCCGTCCGCTTCGTCCTGTAAAGCGGCGCTCCCCCAGTGCTCTCGCCCGTCGCCATTATCTTTATTTTTCATAGGGCGGTATTGTGGATTAACTAAATTTTTCTGGGTTCTAATTTTAAGGTGAGTATCCTGAGCTATGGAGGCCTTTGATCTTCTTCTTAAATACATAATAATAAAATAATGAGAACTAAAGGCTCAAAGGGAAGGCAGATTAGAAAGAACAAGACCTTTTGGAGTCTTCAATTCCCTTCCTGCTAAGAGTTCCTTAATAAGGTTTGCTCTTCCTAACATCAATAAAGGTGGTTTTTCCAGAAAATATGTGAACAGCTGTAATTAGTGATTTAACTATGTTTTCTTTTTGGCTGTGTTTTAATTTATATATAATGTATATTTAATTGAGGAGGGCTTGGAGAGGTAGAAGTGGCCAATATGGAGGCTGCACCTTGCCCTCCAGATCTCTGTCTCCCCTGCAGATCTCTGGAGAGGAGGAGGGGATGGCAGGGGAGCTGTGTGAGGGAAGGCTGCCCCAACAAGCCAGCATCCTTACCACGTGCGATTGGAAATGTGAATTCCCTTTCGAGAAGGGGCAGCCTCCCTTGTGCAGGACCTGGGAGCACTGCTCCCCTGCCACTTCTTCTTGCTCTCCAGAGATCTGTCAAGACAGAAATTGGACTCAGAGGAAACTGCTTCCTGCAAACATCCTCCACCTCCTGCTTCGCCAGGAGGGGGCACCGGACAGGGAAACACCAACAATGGGAAAAGAACATCTTTTTAGCATGCATGGGGTGTTCTTATTTTTTGAAAGACCAGTCTGAGATTATTTTTTGCTTTTACATTAGCAGAATATAAATAATAATTTCAGCACCAAAGTGGACAGACTGATAGAATGATAGCTAACCCCAAAAGGAAAATGTTTTATAAGAGTACTTGCTTATTGCTTGGTTACTCCATTAATTACCATATTCCATTTATATGCTTGAAATTCTGTCTTTTTTCAAGTTTAGTAATACTGTTTTTTTATTATAGCCAGTGGACAAATAATACATATATACATATTTATTTCAATTTAAAATCACATGTATGTGTAGTATTTAAGCACAGACATACATAACATATATAGCAAAAAATTTGTAGTAAACCAATGAACAGCTGCTAATGCATTCATATTATATAAATAAAGAAAATTTTTGATCCTGCTGTGTTCTTGCTATGTCTTAAATGTTAAAAAGTCTTCTATAAATATTAAATTTAAAAATTCAAGTCCTTCTGCCATTTTAAGTGACTTAACAGACAAGAGTTACCCACATGTAAAGTCAGAAACTCAGGTTGCTTGTTTGGAGCTTAGCATGTTTGTGAACTTACCTAGTCTGGGTTGCAAATCATGATTGTGTGAACTTAGCTGATCGAAATTTAATAAACCCTGGTTAAAAGATCATAGCATGCTATGTGAATGCAATCCTAATCTATTGTATACTTAATGGTTCTGGAGTGAGACTTTGGTGTGCAATTCTCTAATTTACTAGGTTTTAAGGGCATTTCACCTTTGATTTTAAACCATCATTAATCTGTTCTTAATGCTATATCCATTGTTTTTTCTTGTAAACCCCCCCCCCCAATAAAATCAGTAAAACTAATGTGCCCTTTTAATGATACAACTAGGAATACTGCAATTAGTGTGCCTAGAGGCCTCTCTCTCTCTCTCTCTCTCTCTCTTTGCTTAAAGGTACTGTACAGTTAAATGACTACTAAGATAATAGATGATTTCTCCAGCCAAGCTTATTGTTTGTTTCTCTTTCTTGTCTAGGTGAAGATACCCAGTTTGTTTGGTGATCTGAAAATAATTCCTGCTCTCTTACATGGGGATCTGTGGGGAGGAAATGTAGCTGAAGATGATTCTGGCCCTATTATCTTTGATCCTGCCTCTTTCTATGGTCACTCTGAGTATGAGTTGGCAATTGCTGGGATGTTTGGTGGCTTCAGTGGTTCATTTTATTCTGCTTACCATGGTAAAATCCCCAAAGCACCAGGCTTCGATAAACGGCTCAAGCTTTACCAACTATTTCACTACATGAACCACTGGAATCACTTTGGTGGAGGCTACAGAGGGTCATCTATAAATATTATGAAAAATCTAGTGAAATGATTTGTGAAATTTTTATTAACTCTGCTTGGAAAAATACATTGGTTTTCAGCTGCAGTGATCTGTGATACTTAATTTATTAAGAGTTATATCCAGTCTTTCATCCAGGAGCCCCTGGTGGGACACGTAGCTCTGCTTCCAATTTTTACCCAGGAGAGAAACAGAGAGAAAAATAATGATCACCTGGAAGTCACCCAGTGGCTTCCCACTCAACATTTTAATTACTATATTCCACTAGTTATAATTTAAATTATTATTCCTTTTCCATAATTGAAGATCAATCCCATTATGTCCCAAGCTTGGTATTCTGGTAACTACAGTTTATTAAAGAGCTGTCCGAGGGGGAAATAATCCGAGATTTACATGAAGGCCTTTACATGAAGGCCTTTTTGCTGTCAAGATGACACCATTGAATTGATTTAGTAGGTGGCAGTAGAGAAAATTGCTCTTCAGACAATAGTTTAGATCAGAGGTCCCCAACCTTTTGGCACCAGGGACTGGTTCCGTGGAGAGAGGTTTTTCCACAGACCAGAGGGTACATGGTTTTGTGTGCTGCCTGCATCTTGCGGATGGGGCTTTGCTTATTTGTGCGGACTGGTTGCCAGCATGCTGTGGCCCGGTACTGATCCACGGACCGGGAATTGGGGACCCCTGGTTTAGATCCATGTTTTGCCAGCAAGGTAGAAGGGGAAAACAAACCAGCAATAATGATAAAGACACAATCAGAGATGGTAGTGACCTTTCTTTCATAGTACAGTACAGTATATATGAATATATTGGGAATTTTCTTACTGTGCAATGAAACTAAGATTACTCTCAATATTTATAATATTATTTATATTTCAGTATTATCATTATAGCTGCTTTAACATTAGATGCATGTTCTAAGCTAAAATTAGAATACATAGGATGCTGCCTAGGTGACCTTTGTTGTTTCTACCGTGAGTAGTGTTAGCACGGCTCTGGTTGTCAAAATTCAGGACTCTGCCTGAATCTTCCAAGCACACTACAATTTGCATGATGATCTGATTTGTTTTCCTTCTGTAAGGCTCCAGCTGGTGTATATTCCTAACTACCAAAAAAAGTGACCTAATCTTGTGTTGTACAGTGTACATTCATGGATTAAGTTTATTTATAGGCAGCTGTATCTATTTCTGAGTTACTTTCTTGGGCTGGTTCCTGGAATCATTTCTCTTTGAAGCCATTCAACTGAGCTGGGACTACAACTCCCAGAAACCTGCCAGCCATTGTTTTGGCTGATAAATTTTGGGATTGTATGCAAGGCTGAAGTTAAAATAGGCTGATTTTTGCAGCTTGTTCTGAACTACTTTGAGTATTGATAAAAATGAAGCAATCTTTGTGCTGATAAAATGCTAAACACTAAATACTAAAAATTAATATGCAAGGGTAAGACCTTAGATTATGAGGAAGGAATCAGTACCTGATTGATCCTCCCCTTCCACACATACACACATCTTTTTCCATTTTAATACTTTGGTTGGCTGTAGTATCCTGCAACCAGTTAGGCTCATAATAGTATTTTTCCATTTTATGATTCACTGCTGCTGAGCTGAAAAATATGGTTATTTCCCATCCCCCCCGATATACAATATTCCTGCTAGAAAAAAAATCATTGGTTGATTTGTCTGTCATTTACAGCATAAAGTCTAACTAAAAAAAGTAGCAAAATTAATTCTAATCCAGATTATGATAGCATATTAATTCTTGAATCTTTTAGTAAAAGTGTTTATGTTGCTTTTTCCTTAGTCAGGCAAGGGCTTACTATCCCGGACACATATTTAGAGAATTAATTTTTAGCTATAATTTTTATGTGTCCAGCATCACTTTCTTCTGTGTTGATCGTTTAACAGAGGAGATTAGAAAGAGAAGGAAATGTTTTACTACTACATTACTAATTCCCCTCAGTTTTTGCATTTGCATGAGTCTGCTACTGTTTGTTTCTAATTTGCAGCAGTGGGAATGCTGAATCAATATACCTAATACTAGAAAAAGTGTACTGGATATACCCAACATGATTTATAACAATTGTGAAGTGCTGATGAAGAGATTTCTAAAGAATAGTAAATAGATCCAGAACTGCTTAAATATTTGAAAACAAAATAATATGTGGGTCTGGGTGAAAGGATACATATGAAAATACATTATTTTTAGAAATCATAGCAAAAGATTGTATTTAATGTATTGCAGAATATATATGTTTATGGCAAACAATTAGAATATGGGTTTTGCTCTTTCAGATGTTGCTTTTTGGTGGCTGTCCATTCTAAATTGCCAGGTAGGTAGAGAGGCATGATTACTAGAATGTATGCTCATACAGACCTTGGAATGTTTTTGATGGCTTTGAATTAACATTATTTGGCTTTACATTAAGGAAAAAATGTTATATTAATTTTTAAAAATTCCAATAATCTCTGTGTTTCTCTGCTTTCTCATTTTGCATAACAATATCACTAGGTGTTCTGAGTTTAAAGAAGAAGTTGCTATTTGTCATCCTTTGTAATTGTTCAAATAAAATATATTCCTGAGCATTTCATTTTTTATTTTTTTTTATTTTTGTCCTGTTTGGTATTATAAATTCATCATGATCTATTTTCTTAAAATATTTGGACAAACATTATTAACCTAGAATAATTCAAATTGTACTCACTTGTATATGGTAGGCATTAGGAAGCTTGGCTTATCTCTCCAATTCTTTTCAATCTTCTTATCTATTATTTGTAATTACAATATTGTGAAATTCTTGAAATTATGATGGAGAATTCTAGTTTAAGAAAACTAATATTCCCTTGAAATTTTTTATAATAATAAGGAATAATTCAGCAGTAAAAGAAGAGTAATCTTTGATATGGAAATAGTTGGACATCTACCAAACAAGTCTAACATGGTTAGACTTTGACTTGAATAAACTTTAAAAAAAAAGAATTAGTAAAAAGTAAAAAGCAAGAGCTAAATCTCATCATAATGCTTGACGATTATTCCAAACTATTATAATCGAAATTCAGAGTATCTTCTGATAAAAAATATGCTACAAAATTGTTCTGCTGAAGAAATGGTGGACCAAATCAGCTCCATGACAAACACAGCCAAGCACCATGGTAGAATGAAGTGCTCCAGTCAGTTGCTCCTCAAGAGGGGACTGCAAGATGGTGGTCACTGGCAAATTGGCAGTTCCTGGAGATGAGGGAATACCCACTTTGTTCAAGCTGTGCTTGGTATCTTTGAAACAACACTAAGTTCACATATTTCCTTTTCTAATCAGTTTCAGAAGTTGCTTATTAACTGCTTTTCAGCCATTTAGGAACCTTTGGATTGATAAGTGTTATAGCACTGAGTGAGTTTCCTTCAATTCTTAGTGAAAGAAGTTTTAAATACCAATGTAGGATTTGAAAGGTTTTTTTTTCCAGAATAAACAGCAAAAGGTGATTAAAAGTTTGATTTTATGAAGAAGTCCCAGTGGAAAAATGTTTTCTTTTTAATTCTTAAAAATAGTAAGATAAGACTCTAAAAAATGTACACTAGAAGGGATTTAAGTTATGGTATAATTAAATTTACAATTACAGAATGAAGCAAAACATTTTAACATTGGACATATTATTTTTAACAATGGCCCAGAAGTTAATTTTAATAGTATCTGCCTCTACATAGACTGTCTTTAAAATACAAGTAGTCCTCTACTTACAACCATTCGTTTAGTGATTGTGCAAAGTTATAGTGGCATTGAAAAAGTGACTTTCACCGTTTTTCACACTTACAACCATTGCAGCATCTCCATGATCATGTGATCTGACATGTATTTATGACGGTGTACCAGGTTGCAGTGTCATGTGATCAACTTTTGTGACCTGATAAGCAAAGTCAATGGGGAAACCAGATTCACTTAACAACTATGTAACAGTGATTCACTTAACTGTAGCAAAAAAGGTTGTAAAATGTGGCAAAATTCACTTAACTGTCTTGCTTAACAACAGAAATTTTGGGCTGAATTGTGGTTGTAAGCTGAGGACTACCCTTATGTTATGATTCGAAAGTATATTTTAAAATGTTGGACTAAAAGAATGGCATGGAAAAAGATATTATGCTGAATATTCAAAAGAATCTACCTTCTCACATGACTAAGCCCAGACAAATCCTCCTAAAGCAAGCATTCTGCCCAGGGTTCATTGGAAAATCAGATAAGATGATGTCATGGAGATTTTCTTCCTACACTTAGAAAATTGTGTTTTTGTGATAAAAATAACATTGGAATGGGCTTCCGGTTTGAGACGTCGACTTCGTCGGAGGCTTCCTTTGAAGTCTCCCTCCCGGGGCTGCGTTAGAGCCGTGCCGACAGCATAAATCAGCTGTCGGGCGGCTTGAAACTCACCTCCTGGGCTAAAGGAGGTGGGGGAGCCGCTCCGGATAGGTGTTGAGCTCCCCAAGTTCCTTGAGGAACTTGGGTGAGAGCC